GCGGAACTGAAAGAGTTGGAGCCAGCTGTTTGGAAAGTTAATGACTATAGGTGCTTGGGTAAAAATGTAAAGAAATATTTTGCTGGGCAGTGTATATTTGTTCTGCAGTCGTTATTGAAGAAAAGGAAAAAAAAGTTTGAGTTTATTACTTAAATGAGAACTATGGAGTTTTCCCCATAGTTCTCCTTAGGGTAACGGGAGGACACAAACAATTGTGCCGGGATCCGCCCAGCTGCGTGACTGACAGCTGGCTCTGCCTATCTAGAGGCAGAGCCAGCTGTACCCACCCCCTCCCCCGTCCGTTCCGCAAGTCACTGCTGGCGGATCGGAGCAGGGAGGGGGGAATCCAGCCCCTCCCCTGTCACGGCAGAGAGCCGTGACAGGATCGAGAGGTGAGCGAACGCCGGTATGTGTTCGCTCACCTCCCAATCTACTGAGCCGACCTGTGACAGTCTCATTGTCACATATCGGCTAGAACTATGAGGTGAGTGAAAAGCACTCGCCTCATAGTTCTTTTAAGTTCAACTTTAACTTGGAACTGAATACGTATTTAAAGGCTCCAAAGAAAGCTGCTTGAAGCTTGCTCAAAGCTTTGCCAATGCTTTGTAAAGTGAGCTGTACACATATTTGTATACAAGCAGTAGCCAGTGTGTACAGGGCTTACATGTAATTGAGAAAGTTGTCACCCTCCTGGCTGAATATAGTGTGAGCTGTATGTGTCAATTAGATTAGTGGTTGATCAGAATAGTAAAACGTTCACATGTTTTCCAACTCTATATGTAGCTGCTTTCATGAATATTGTCAATATCTTTTCAAAGCTGTAATTACCTGTAGTTTTCTGTTTGCCTTGTGTTGTTATCTCTGAGGTATAAGAAAAACACTTACTGCTACTGCTGGAAATATGTCCTTGAGGTAAGAAGTGTTGGCATAAGTAAGACTAGTTTGTAGCAGAGTTCTTAAGTGATCTTATATAATACAGTGTGTCCAGGCAGTCTTTCCACTTTCTGAATAATACACAAGAGGAAGTCTTGAACGATTGCTGACTGCAGTGTATTGATCGTCTAACTAATTAAGTGCAGAGTAGGTCAATAGTCTTCGCTGAACAAAACTCTTCATCTGAAATACATTTCAATCATCTCAGCATGACTTATATTAATACATTAGTTAATGGACAGAACAGTCCTTGGAGCACTGACCTGCCTTTTCTCTGCACTTCCGATGTCTGTACTTTTGTATAGTTTTCAAATAAGGACATAATACTGGGGGAATTTATCAAAACCTGGAGCAGAGAGAATCTGGAGCATTGGCCCATGGCAACCAATCAGCTTCTCTCTCTATAGTTCAGTTAACATTTGAAAATGAGAGTGAAGCTGATTGGTTGCCATGCACAGCTGCTCCAGATTTTGTCTGCTCCAGTTTTGTTAAATTCCCTTCTACATGTTTACTGTTTTCCTGTGTCCCTTTGTTGCCATATCTGCTTGTTGAGAATACTGTGTAGGGGCCCTAGGCTGAAATATTGTGATGGTGGTCCTCACAATGTATTAAAGAAGAACTCCAGGTAAAAATGTTATTAACCTTTGCTGTGCGTCTACGCCAGCACTTCAAGGGTTAAACTGACCCTAAACCCAAGAGTTTTAGATCTCAATGAATTCAAGTACCTGAACTATTAACAGAAATGTATCTTATTTGTGTATCACTCGGCTGTAGATCCTCAAATCATCTCTGAATTGGTGCTGGCACGGTCCTTCCTTCTGGAGGGGGGCTACTTTTGTTCCCCATGGTCCCTGTGTGTGTTGTAAAGTAGCCACCGCTCCAAGCTCACGCCTGTGATGGACTACAATCTCATGTTTAGTTTTATTACTTGTATTGTAATTGTAGTCCATCATGGGAGCAAGCTTGGAGTGGTGACTACTTTACAACACACACAGGGACCATGGGAACAAATGTAGCCACCCTCCAGAAGGAAGGACAGTGTCGGCACCAATTCAGAGATGATTTGAGGATCTACAAATATCACAAATAAGATGCATTTTTGTTAAAAATGAGGATACTTGAATGCGTTAAGATACAACTACTGAATTTTAGTGTCACTTTGTAAGTGTTCATTTTTGCCTAGGGTAAAAAATAAAATGTACTCACCCACAATACAATGCTTTAGCAGGGGGGATTCATCCATGTAACAAATAAAGTAGGTGTTGTACCAATTTGGCAGCAAAAGTAGAAATACACTTTAAAGTAGTATTAAACTTTCAAACTTTTTTTTTTTTTCCAATAGTGGATTCATTACAATACCGAACCCAGATCAAACAAATATACATTACCCAGCAAAATATTTATTTGCTTAATTGGCACTCAACAGTCATCATGTTTCTGAACAGCTGGCTTCAACTCTCAGTACAGGTTCCCTAAACTTCCTGTCCAGTACAAGATCACAAGGGACAGAGCAGTCTCCAGCATCTACTAGCTTTGAGAAGGTAGGAAGGAAGAGCAGAGGAGAAGCTTGCCTTGCTGTATCTGTGTGTTTGTGAAGACACACACCGCTCACTAGCACACACAAGGGTGGCTCCATATGACACTGCAAGGGAAAGGAGCCACCCTAATTATCAGGGCCAGTGCTCAGGGGGCCAGCTGATCATGCAGGAAACAAACTCTTGAACATCAAGGAGCAGCATCTATTGTAAATGATTTGAAATTGTAAGTAATTTTGAAATCGCTGATAAACATTTTGACCGTAGTATCCCATTCATTTTAAAGGGGCATGACAGAGCACCCTAACGCACAGAAGTATTGCCATTACATTTTTTTTTTCTATTGCAGTACACCACAATGCATGGCGTGTGTGATAGGATGCATTACCCATTAATGTAATGGTTAATTCAGGTGCCATTTAAAATGGATAAGCCATTATTGTGTATTGCGATAAATCTGATCTCTATTGCACCTTGCTGTAGCGGTCAATGTGACTCAACCTTTAAAGCAGACAACATTGCAGACTAGGCCTTGCACCCAGCTAGAATCTGAAATGAGTTTGAAGTATTTAGAGGGGTGTTTTGTAGAAACACACACTGGGATCATTCTACAGGAGCAACTCTCTCTAATTCACTATTTCTTCTTTCTTGAAATAAGCACGCAGCGTGAGAAATGGAAGAAGTATACATTTATTTCCCAGTCACAGGATATTGCTTGTGTTTAATGTCTGTGTGTTGTGGCAGGGAGGGTGGTACACAATAGATGATGGCGAACAGACTTGCAATTACTGGGAATCTGTTCCCAGGGCATAGCCCTGCGTGCCTGTTTATATTGTACTCTAGTTAGATACACTAGTGGGAAAGGAGCCTGGTGCTCCCTTATCAGAACACACTGCGGAGGGACATGCAGGAGACTAGCGATCAATCTTTTCTATATTTTACATTCAAAGGAATACCTTTTTTCTCCTTTTTGTTTGATTAATCCCTTGGTTTCTCCTGGTGACTTTAGTCACCAATACATAGAGATCGATTTGTTACATTTTTACGATTTGTTACCGTAAGGGAAATCTTCCAATAGGGGACAAACTGTAGACATGACAGGAGAACATTTTCTAAACTAAAAAGTACAAGAAATGGGGGATGAACCGGGAAAAGGCACTGACGGCAATAAAACCCTTGTCCCGCATTACTAATATTGCTTTGGCTCTGTGTCCCTGTTGGAGAGATTTCCCATCATTTTTCTTTTCTGGCAATGATGTAAGATGTCGGTAAGTGTTTCAATTTGCTGACAAACATCCAAAACTGCAACCCTCTTCCTTAGCGGCCTGACCCTTCCATACTGATTAAGCAGCCGTTCCATATGGCTTGTTGAGGGAAAATATCATTACTCCTAGACCTCCCAGTTCTTATACCAACATACGTGGGAGTAGTTATCCACATACGATCAGAATAGGTGTATTGTTTGGAGAATTGGCGTCTCTTACGATGTGCTGAGTGTGGAACTCCAGCTTTACTTTCAGTCTTGCACAGTTGTACCGGATCTTCTCTTGTATTGAAATTGCTCTGATTTTCATTGAGCTTCTCACTGTGCATTAGAAGTCATAGCTCGCCTTATTTCTTGGCTGGAAGCTTTCCAGCATCATCTAGCACTTTTTAATGCAACCTTACTGTCCCTGGCCCGCCCCTTTCAGTCATTGGATTTCTGTTTTTTTAGTCATGGAGGGTCAGCATCACATGTGTGTGTTCCCCAGGACAATCTGCATGCAAATACAATCTGCCCTAGGAACACCCACTCCTCCACACTGACATCCCCCATAAAGGCATTTTGATATTGATATTTTCATAACTCCTCCCAAGAGCCAGCCTATGGCTTGCATCAGGGCTGAGGACCTGTTAAGAGAAGTACTCAGGCAGGGTGCTGTGATATTTACATGAAGCTATGTAAAGCACCTTGCTGGCTCCTCCCACCAGCCACGATCTGCTCCCATTTCATTGCAGGAAAGAAGGACCTCGGAAAGACAAAATATAACCAGATTACATACTTATACTGACAGGCATATAAAGCGGAAGTTTAGAGATTTACAGATACCGATGGGTTCTAAGAATCAGAAACTATACATTTATTTTTGTATTTCATATAGACATCCATGACGGGTAATACATTTTTCTATGCATTTATTATGTGATTGATAATAACAATGCAAATATTGTTATCCATTTTGCAAACTCTGCATGGATAAGATGAAAAGATTTTGATGGATAATTAAATATATTATCGCCTTTTATAGACTGTTTAAGCAACAATGGAAGCTGTATCTGTTAAACCTTTTATGTGTATTTAATGGCATTATCCAGAAATCTTTTATGTATTTAATTCATCTTGAAAGCCCAAATGTAGTAAGGTCAGCAAAGGGAATGGTGTTTTATTTTCCTGAGCAATGAATGTATTGTATTATTTCAGCATCGCCTCTAGACTGCTTTGGTTTTTATTTACCATATGAAATCCTTGGTTATCATCCATTTCTCTTGCAGACTTTGCCTCAGTGGATATCCTCGCCAAAATGCAAGAAAATACAAAGGTGTGAAGAATAGAATACCGGTTTCCCCTGAGTTTATGGTCCAGCTTCTTACCGGAATTTACTACTCGTTGTAAGTGAAGGCCTTTCAAATCCTCAGTGCCTTCCTTCAATTGAATGTGTATTGATAACCAAAACTTCTTTTTTCTCTAGTTTTGTATAATTCACACTAGATCATTTGCAGTTAATGCACCTTACCTGTGTAGGTGTGATGCGATATCATTAACTTTTCTGAATAGCACCCCAATGCACCCTGCGGTGCGCTGCTGAAAATGCCGCATGCACAATTGTTCTTTTGTCAGATATCTGCCCAATGAGACTAAAAGCAAAAAGAAAATCTTAACAGGGGTCTTAATAATTCTTTACCCTTTTACTAAACAGAGTTTAATCCTCAATAAGATTTCCCCTCACTCTGTTAGGACAGGAAGTGATAGAAAATCCAGTGAAAATGCAACAAATCTTTGCCTATGCCCCTGTTACTCTTGTCCTGCTGTCATGGGGAGTGGAAAGGGTGTCACAGACGGCAAAAATGTGAAAGAAATATTCATGCTTCAAACCCAAAATGTTTTGGGATAGAATTGGCTTTAATCAATAAACATGGCGATTTGTTGATTTGTCTCTGAATCCTGCCACGTAACAGGACTGATGGGGGGGGGGGTCGGGGGGTCGCAATAGGAAAATAAGATCACAACTCCACTGGTTTGCT